AAATAAATTTTAGGGGAAAAAAAAAAGAAAGAAAACTGGATACTAATATTCCTGAGCAGTCTTCATATATCATCAAACTTCTGCTACTTTTACACACTTTAAATACTATATGGTAGTACACACGTATGTCCTAGCAATAAACTCCAGAAAAGTAGAGCTATTAGGACTTACTTAATGCACCTTCAAAAACACAACTACAGGTTTCTATGAGATTAATGCAGCAAAAAATGAGTAGAACAGTATTAGAAACTAAGATGCCAATTTAAAAAGTTACAACTTCCCTAAGATCACTAAGGTATGTATTGAGGGGAAGAATTTCTTCTAAGTTATTAATTGGTTTTTGTCTCTACCTTCTTTTTTTTAGATCCAAGAAATCAAAAGTTTACTATAGCACATGTATGACAAAAATATCCTCTTCCTGAAAGATGTGAGGAAGCTAGACAAGTCAAAATTATTTGAGAGTGGGCTGGTGAGATGGCTCAGTGGTCTAAAGCACCTACTTAGAACAAGCTTAGCAAAGCACAGAGACCACGGTTCAATCCCCCAGCACCACATGCCAGCCAGCCCCGCCCCCTGGTGGGCTGAGCTGGCCACACACACACACACACATAAATAAATAAAAATTAAAAAAAAATTATTTGTGAATTCTCAGTCTTATAAAGTGTAAGGCAAATAGAGACTTACAAGGCTCTAAATTTAAAGTGACCAAAGAGATCCTTTAACTTACACTGACAAAAGCCAAGTGCGATCAAAATGTCTCTAAAACTCAAATTTACTCTCCAATTACGTTATGCTTTTCTATAAATCCACTTAAACAGATAAACAAGTAATCCTTCAAACTCAGCTATTCTAAGAACAAAGACCACTGACTAGTTTTCCCTCAAGGGACCAAATGTTTCGAAATTCCCTGGGAAGAAAAATTATGCATAACCTTTTAATGTTTGACCTCACGATGCTAATGTAAAACATGGATAATTGATTTTTTAAAAAAATGTATAGCCACATTATCAAGTAAAATAAGGCACAATAGCTTTTATAATCTTATTTTACAGAAACCAAAATATCAAAATGAACAACAAAAAACAAACCCAAAGCAATGAAGTATGAAGCAAGTAAGAAGAAAGCTGGTAGACTTAAGGAAGCTTTTGCAGCTAAATCCAAATACTTTGTGTCTAGACTTAAAGTCACTATTAAGAAAACTATGGGCACAGTCTCCCTCCTATGGCAAATTAAATGAAGTTTATAAGACTACTCTGATCTTAGTTTCAAAAAGCAACCTGCTTCTGTACCAGATTTTAACAATGCAGCCTGTAGAATAAACGCACAGCAATTACACACCAGTGAAGGATCTATGTTCATCTACCTATGAGCATAACATGGGCATTGATCCCAGATTCCTACACAAACTCTCCCACCACTCATCAACGTTTCAATACATAATAAAATGTCACTTTCTGAGTAAATTTGTATGCTCACTCTTCAAGGATGGAGTTCACTGGAATGCAGAAAATGCTTAAGCCAGTTATTTCTATAATAATTTTGTAGAATACAATCTTATCAACTAGTGCATATTTTATCATATAAAGTAAATTCTGCTCTAAAATATGTTCAATGGAATAAGAGGTCATGACAGGGTGTGTACTCTCCATTTGTGTAAATACTATTGGATTGACAGGCACTCATCTTTCAGTTGTTCCACAATCAGAAGGGTCATTAATGGCCTTTAATGACCCACTCATATCTCACTGCTTAGTATAGCCCCAAAAGACTGGCCTCCCACTCTGGAAATGAATTCTAATTATTCCACTTTTGAAAATACAGTTACATGACACCTGATACCATTTAACTTTCAGTCTCACTCTGTAAGTCTCAGAAAAAAGCATAAAACAGATTCAAGACCCTATTATGGTAATGCTTTTATTTAAGGTCTATTAAAACAGACTAAATTCCACAATCCCATAATAGGTAAATGGGCATGTTAGGAGTGGGGGTGGGGAATCAAGAACCAAAGCCTTAGTTTTTACTTACATAATGATGATAGTATGCCATAAGACAAATTTAAAAAGCAGTGAAACGTACAGCTTCACTTTACCAGATACATAACCAAGTTCGAATTTCTCAAGGAAAGCTTTAAACACAAGGGAAAACATGCAAAATGTACTGGGAAGGACAGCATCTTTCTACTCAGTGAAGTAACAGGTCTAGGCTCGTTTGTACAGCTCCCTAAAATTTACAGGAAAATAATACAAAAACCAAAATTGGTTGGGAGTTGGATGGGAAATGTTTCACTCCAGATTAAAATATCCAATCACATAAAAGTTAACCTACACTCTTACACAATTTTTAAATCTCATATATTGAATAAATGATGGTTCAATTAAACACAACAGAAACAATTATTGGTACCTATTTTTTTTTAATGCTTAAAAGCATCCATCCATCACTGAAATATCCAACGCTACCTGATGTTTTTATTTTTTTCAAAAGTGTTGTTTTATTAGCCTCTGAGGGAAAATAAAATTAATCAACTAAAACATAATACTGTAATTTGCAGTAAGATCAGCACATTTTTGTAAATGGCGCGAGGAAAATAAGCCTTGTCTTTTCATGTAAACATAATAAGCCTGTAATATGCTGCAGACAAACGCACTGCATGGGGTGTGGAGGACCCGAGCTGATTAGATTACCACAACATCAGCCTAGGGCCGCCATTTTTAGAATCTGTAAAGGACAAAAGAGGGAAATTACAGTTTTTACTCCCTTCTCAGAAATTAAAGGAGCCAAAGGACCGCTGTCCAATTAGCTATTGATGTCCTCTGCCTAGAGTTGAAGGCGCTTCGCTCGATTCTCTGCAAGGTTTCCACAACTCCGAGCCCTTCCCTCATCCACAGCTCTAAAAGGTGAATAAAGCAGGCGGCGCGGGGTTGCTCCGAGGCTAACCGTGGCGACCGCTCGCACTGTACACTGTATCACTCGGGCGAGCCGCCGGACGCAGACGCGGAGCCGAGGCCAATGGGAGCGGGCGCTCCGGACGGCTCGCTCCCTCCTCCCGGGTCCTGCACAGGGAACCGTTTGTTTCTCATCTGCGCCCGCTGCCACAGGGTTCGTGCCAGTCCTTTGGTCCAAATACGCTTTCCTGCCATAGCCACACAGTGGGTTCTGGGGCTCCCCCGCAGCAGAGCCGGAGGAGTGGGGGAGGAGGCTGCGAAGGCTGGTGCCGGGGTGACCACCTCGGGGGCGGGCTCGCCCTCTCCGCGAGAGATGGGGAGCTGTCTCGCTCCCCCACAAAGACAGATGCCAGGGCCGTCCTTCTGCCCCACTTCGTTTTTGCGAGGACTTTATGTCAGGCACTGCCAATCGGGAAATGGGAGAAGGAGAAAATGGGGCCTGCCCGGCTTTTCAGCACCTGAACCAGACGCGGCTGAGAAAGGGGGGCGCTGGCAGCTCCGGGCCTCGGGGACGCGAGCCCCTCCGCCAGCCCCGCGCCCCCTCCTCACCGCGGCCCGGGGGGCGGGCGCCCTCCCCAACCCCCGCTCGCAGGGGTTGAACTGCCAGTTCCCCCTTCGCCACCCCAAAACCCGCCATAATGCTCTGTGTCTGGGACAGGCATGGGACAGGGCCGCCCGACGGACGCGAGCACCGTCTGCGCCGGGCGCGGACGCCCCGGGTCGCGTCCTCCTGCCCGCGAGGGTAACGACGCGGCGCCCCCTCCCCGAACCCCGCCACCACTGACTCCCACGGGCGCGACACGCACTGACCTGGGGTGTGCACACACCAGACGCCCGGACCCCGTTATCTGCTCGGCCCCCCAGGAGTGTCTCGGCACCTCGGCGACCCGGCGACCCCCCCGACAGCAGCCACTGCAGACGCGGGACCGGTTCCACACACTCCCTCCCCAAACAGCAGCGCGCAGCCTCTTCGCCCGGAGCCGGGGTCGGGGAGGGTTCTCCCAGACGGTCCACGGGAAAGCGGAGGCGACGGCGAGGCTGATCGGAGTGTCTGTGCCCCCTCAGTGGCCGCTCCCAGACTCAAGCTCGGTCTCCGACTCGGCCCCCTGCGCCCGCTCAGTGTCACTGCTTCTCGCTCTGGGAAAATGGCGGCGACGACGGCGGCGGCCGCGGCGGCGGCGGCGGCGGCGGCGGCCGC